TTCTATGTTTCTCATCTAAAATGGAAACTGTATTTTCTTTCTAGGAGTGCTAACGCACCTAAAATATTTACATAATGGTTTGTGTGAGCTACTTAGGTAGTGCATGTAGCCCTTCTGTGGGAAATGCCATGTCGAAACAAGGTTGTTTGAGTACATCCTAGCACAGCTGTACACCAGTCTAAGAGGTTCTATGTGCCTTGCTGACTTGATTCAGAAAGACTCACAAGACTCTTAAGTTTTTTTTTAAAGACAACAACGTTCTGGATTGACCTGACTGGCTAAAAATAATACCCTTGATGAACACTTGAATTCCGGAAAGGTGTTGAGTTCTTTACCAACTTCTTTAGGAAAATGTATCTTTTATGGATTTGGAGGAAGAAGCTTGTGCTATTTAACACTGATAAGTGATCTGAGTAATGACTTGAATGTAAGGAATAAAAATTGCTCATCATATGAAATTGTTAAGAGCTGTCCAAAAAGTTGCAAAAGAATGTTATGGGGTTAAGTGATAATGGTGCAGGTTATGGGCTCTGGGATAGCTGTTACCACTCAGAAGAGGGAAAAAAATATTAGAATCACTAGCAATAGGGAATACTACAGCGAATGTCTTTGACTGCTATATAAATCTTTAGTGTAGTCACGTTTCAAAAAACAAGGCCCTGTTAAGGAAACAATTTAGGTATAACTTCAGACTCACAAAGTCACTACAATATAAGGTTACGGAAAAATAAGAAAATTAAGAAGACTCATGTTTGTTTATGTTTTATACTTTCATACATTGGCAATGCTGGTTTTTGAGTCAGACTAATCTCGGTTTCTGCTGAGTTGGTACAGTAGTTCTCCTGTTTGCTTTATATCACAAGGAAGCCAGATAGAGGAACCACTAGATGCTTTTAGTTGTGATAATAAAACTTCATATTTTTAACTGATATGATTTTTAAGGCAAGAGTGTGCTCAAGAGTTATTAGCTTACTTCTCTAGTAAGTAATATGAGATGGATACCTGAGATTAGGTTTAGCCATAAAAACACAATCATTCGTTTCTTTGATTCAACATAAAGACTCCTCAAGGTGAATGCACAATTACCAAAGTCATCTCTTACAGCCTTTCCCTCCCCTCCAAGGAGAATGAAGGGCATTTAGAAGAATGGCTTGAGATTGCCTGTTACTGTTTTGCAGAAGAAAATATTCTTCCTCTTTCAATCAGCCCAGTACAGCATGCAAGGAATTATTCTCCATGCTGTTGCCCCTTAGTATCTCAATGCCTGAACCTCTTCAAATGATTCTTTTGCAGTCCCTGGCACAGATCTGCACTCACTAGAGTGGTGATTTCCTCTCATTTGTGAGCAGAGCCTGGCACCTGTAGTCCTGCTGGTAGACCTATTTGTATTGATTTGATACTAGTAGGTGAAATCTTCCTTTTCAGGCTCAGACAAGAGAGAAATTTTTTAATTTTAATTTTTGGCAAATCATTTTAAAATGCCTGCATTTTTTTTCTTGGTTCCATTTTAAATTCTGGGGGATTATGTAACAGCATGGTTTAAATAATAATTCAGGAAGCTGTGCAGATTGGGCTGAACTGCACTAATGGCGTTTTTCCTTCTTTCCCACATAGAAGAAAGGTCAAGTTCAAAATGTTATTCTCTTCAAAATTTTACATATTTTCACATTTTTATGAAAGGTTGGCTTACTAAGTAAAGTTTATATACAAAAGAAAAAAGTATGGGTCATTTTGGAAAATGAACTGCCTCTTTGGCTTGTGGAAAATATCATGAATGTATTTTAAAGAATCAGAATCCACTGATTTGATTATCTTTCCATAGTAAATGATTTTCAGACTTCAGTTCTTACAGACTAGAAAGAGATTTTTTTGTTCATATTCTAAAATGTAATGAAATGTTCAGATGGAAGCAACTGATTTTCAAGGTAAATATATCTTTGTAAAGAAATGTGTAAAAATGTTTTTCTGAAAGTTTTTAATTGTTTTGTCTACAATTCCACCATTGTTTTCTGCATTACTGTGATTTTAAAGGACAGGTACTGTAACAGACAATCTTTTGCAGGTGACCTGTTTCTCTTCAGTTGGAGAAAGCAAGTTTGAGGTGTGTTTACAATGACCACAGCCACAGAGCGAAAGTTCATTAATCTCAGGAAGCGTCTCGATCAGCTGGGCTATCGGCAGCCATTGGGAGTGGAGAGTTTGCCTCTGGTGGAAAAGCTCTTTAGGTATCCAAAAGGAGATCACTAAAAAAACCTAAGTCATAGGCTTTTTTTCTTTTTTTTTGATTAGGACATATGAAGGAAAATGCTTAGTCTGAAGATTGTTTTCCAGTAATGTTATCTCAAAACTAGTATTTAGTTCCTGTGTGTGAGGGTGTCGGATAGATTTACGTGAGCAATGAGAGCATCTTAAGACTTAATTTAAATTGTTAGAATGGGTAGATAGTTCTAAGGTTTATAGTCTAAGAAAATTTTACTTTTTAACCTCATAAGAGAACTACTAGTTCTCTTACATAAGAGTTCAGTAACTATATAATACACCTATATGAGAATTCTCTTTTATATACTAACAGTTTTCTAACATAATATTTACTACTGATATGTACTGAAAAGACATATTTAAAACTGGTTATATTTGCTGATGTTTGAACTGTGACCAAATGTTCACAGCTCATTTTTTTTTATGATTCCATTTGTAGAAGTGTACGTTTAAGTTTGCTATTGCTGCAGTCATTATAGATAACAGAATAAAAACAAGCTTTCTGTTAACCTTGATATTTCTGCCATTTTGTGGTTTTGATGCCATTAGGAACATAGTAGTTTCCATAGTAATCCGTTTATATTTGGCTGAACATGCACATAAGTTCCAGTGCTAGCTAGT